CGGACCGAAAATGCAGGTCAGGCGACTCCTCACCGAAGTGACAGCATTGAGAATCTTGGCTGCGCCTAACCAGGAGAATAGGGAAGTAACAGGAGAAGAATCGTGCTCGCCAAATATATTTTCAGACGAAGTTCTTCCCTAGATAATCAACAAGGCGCAGCTGCCAGGGATGATTCTGCACCTCCTACCCGAGGTCCCCTCCCACCGTACGACTGAAACACAAACCAAACTCCGCCTCCGGAGCAGAACAGCTGGCGGTAGGAAGCCACCGAGCTGACGGCGGATGTCCGATTGTAGGTGTCCTGTGGTTAGTGCCCAAACACCCCCCCCCCCCTCTCTCCACGGTCTGTGCACTGGAAAGAACACTACCGAGACCGACACCCTGGTCAGCCAAAACATACACCTACTGACGACAAAACTCTACGGAAACCAGAAGAGTGACTGATGAGAGTGCGGTTGTGGTAGTCTGTAGCATACAGCTTCCAGTCTTCTGACAGCTGCTATGAGGACGGGTTCAGGATGGGCGGTGATGGAGTTGCCTTGTTGCCATTGTTGCCATTGCCTTGAGGTGACGAAATCGAAGTTGAGAAATGGAGCTCGTTGCTTTCTGCACATGGTGTTATGTTCGCCTCGACTCATAGTTTTAATTTCATTATTTTCCACTTGTGCTTTTCCGACCTTAAGATAACACTCAGTGACAGATACAGATAATCATGGCTGTACTTTACACGGGATAATTTTGACCACTTGTAGTTTTGATTGTCGGTGAGATACCGGGAACGTGACGATTTGAGATCGCGTGGAGCTCAGACCGTGACTCTTGGATACAAATCGAGATGTATCTACAACAGTGCAAACTCGCTTCGCAGCCGTCGCCGTTTACTACGCGCACGTAGCGGAAATACCGCTCGCACTGTCAGCCTTGAGCGCGTTTCGAATTGTCAACGATTTGTTTGCACCGATTTCACTCACAGACCAAGTGCAATTTATTCATGGCTCATTCAATTTTTGTGTGGGCATACATGCGATAAAACAAGTCAGATGAAGTGACCACACCGTGGGCAGCGAGCATGAGCCCGTGCTGTAACTAAGGCAGTGCAGTACAATCCCTGCTAGCATTTTGTTACCTTTTTCCGTATGCATGATGGTCCACAGTTTAGTAATGAAGCACTGAAGCCGCCGCAAGTGGTCAAAATTATCCTGTTTTAAGTACAGCTATGATTATCTGTATTTATCACTGAGTGTTATCTTAAGGTCAGTAAAGCACAAGTGGAAAATAATGAAATCAAAACTATGAGTCGACGCGAACATTACACCATGTGCAGAATAAAACAAGCTCCATTTCTCAACTTTGATTACATCATCTCAAGGCAATGGCTTGACCTTTACGTAAAACCGTTGCCTTTCAGCAGCGGACTCTGACAACCCTGAAGGTATGGCAAGTCAGAGGTAGCCAAAAAGTGCTGACATCACAAACTGTCGTAACCGCCCTAGCGTAAAGCGCAAACGATTAACTACATTTAGGAGCAAATGTTTTGGTGCCAAGGTTACATTATGTCAAGTTTTCAGGTTTTAATTTGCGGTCACGTCATATTCCTCGTTTGTATAAAGGCAGTCGGTCTCTCTGTCACGTGTTTTTTGGAAACATATTGAAGGTTAGTTGCACGATTGTGGCACAAAAAAAATGGCTGCCACTCGGGCACGAAGTGATGAACGATTAAGGAGGAAAGAAGGCGTGCCTTCTTCAACGTAATTGCTGTTAGATCTGTCCCACATAACATGAAATGGTGCCTTGTGTGTGAAAATGACAGACACCCACCCTTTCGACATAACTTTTTATCTCCGACATCACCACGCTTCACAAATGCGCACTGGGCTGGCTAGCCCATTACAAGTTTCACGTGCCAGTTGCCAGATTTCCATCGTCCGACTTTAACTCCTCTATTGACGTTAACTGCAGCAGAGATGCCAGACTGCTTTAGGGAAGAACATAAAACTTGATGTAAAGCTCATGAACTCAGGAGACACTGACAATTATCAAAGTGTGTACGGCAAAATGCGGTGCGAAGCCGCATTCTAGATAGCCTGTGCGGAGAACAGTGTGTGAGGAACCGCCTTGCGTAGTTTGAGAGCAACACCAAGAAAAGTAAAGTAAAATCAGTTGACACACCTATCTGTCAAAACCGTGTCGTGTCGCTTGTGGGTCCGGGGCGTCCGTTGCCGGTGCATTGTCGTCCCTTCCGGTGACTCGGGTCGCTTGTGGGTCCGAGGCGTCCGTTGCCGGTGCAATGTCCTTCCTCGCGGTGACTCGGGTCGCTGGTGGGTCCAGGGCCCACGCCGCTGGAGCTCAACGGTTGCAATACCGTTTTCGGGCCTTATGCATTTCAGGAAGGTATAATCCCGTCCCTTTGGACCCGGCAGTGCTTACATGAACGTGCCATGCCCTATACTGTGCCGAATAGATCATGTCAGGGATGAATCATTCATGATGTGTCATCAAGTATGGAGGGAGAGCGCTAGTCCCCACAAGAGTCATGTGTGTGGTAGATGACAACGTGACATTTCGAGGTGGTGATCTTCCTGCAGCGGGCAGGCCCGGTCGGCAGGGGGAGGGGGGAGTCGTGCACTGATCTGCCGTCGCCATCCCCGAGAGGACGGCAGCTGTCGGAAGCACGGGGGGGGGAGGTGAGGCGGCCGCTACGTGCAGCTGTAAGAATGATGTGAGATGCACGCGTTGGTGGAAAACATCGCTTGGTATGTGTACGATAGTCACACCAACTTTTATTAGAATAGTCACTCTTTCAGTATCCCTGCTTTGAAAGGAGCTTGATCTTCAAAGGAGCAAGTTTTTTCCTACTTCCGGCTTTTAGCGACCTCGCGTGCGTCTACTGAGATTGCGCCGCAGGCAGACAGCAGCGAGATGTCGATGAGCAAACAGCAGCGTAAAAACCGTGTAAAAACTCAAATCTAGACTGGCCTCTTTTATATATGCAACTCGACAGACGTGCGGCCACGCATGTGGCACCGCGCAATTCCCCGTTCAGTTCCCTACTGAGGCATGTCAATTTCTGATGCCTCCGACCCTCATATACCCAGAGATGACAACAGTTTCGAATGGCTGCTCGTTGGTGTTATCGTGGGCCACATTTTCAAGCTGTCATTGTCAACCCAATGAGCCCAGAACAGCCCACCCGGCACGCCTCACGCCTGGACCTCGTGCCGCAGCTGGACCTTGGACCTGGAAAAAGCCGCCTGGTGCGTCCGCGTGTCCTGTTCACATATTACCATCCGGGACCCGCCGTTTGTTCGCGTATGACACAACAAAGAATGTGACAGATAAACAAACAAACCTTTATTCTTTTTCATGTCTTGTTTATAGAGTGCTGGTCTGGCGGCTTTGCATTACGTTACCCCCCCCCCCCTTTCTTAGCATGTTTTGCTAGTCGCACGTCATACAACTATATTTGCGTGAGTTGTTTCTGTTCTACGTTGGTGATAGGTGACATATAAAAGACTCCACTGACTGGATCAGCCCATGGGCGCTCACATCGAATGGGTAGCGGGCAGGGGTGGGTATATATTTAGGAGAATTTACGGGTTCACGTGCGGGTAAGGCTGAAACAGTTACGAATTATTGAGTAAAGGCTTCAAGAATACTACACTATTTTAATGCTCCCGACTTTTTTAAGTAATGATTAACTGCATTCACTCTACGTCTGCAACTTAAAACACTAAACGTTAGCTTAATCTTTAGGATACGTACTCGCGTAACATGAAGGTGAGCATCAACATGCCTTTACTTCTTCGTAACTCTGCTCCAAAACGTCAAATTCAAACGACGTTAGTTAAAGCTTCAGTTGACCGTCAAGCTTAATTAACGATAAAATCGTTTTCATGTGGATTTCCAGCCATGTTCCGACTCTTACCAATGGAAAAGCGGACGCCGTAGCGAAATCAGTTGCTTGTCGAGACCACCCCTCCCTGTCAATCTATCAGCCCAGGACCAAGAGTCTGAAAGCACAGGGCATATATATGTATATATATATATATATATATATATATATATATATATATATATATATATGTAGAAGCGCGTGTGTGCGTGTGTGTGTGTGTGTGTATGTGTGTGTGTCTCTTGACTAATGCGTTGCAAAATAGATTTGAAGGAGGTTGTCCATCCAATCTAGGCCATCAAAGCATTCAGTGGCGAGTGGAAATCATCTTGCCGTGCCAATAGGTCTGGAGGGTCTGAAAGGTTTGGTGTGGGGTCTCTTTGCCGTCTTCGGTTGAGACACAAACACCCGACGCATCCACTTTTTCTATGGGGCCAGGACACGCCACAGGGTATGGATTGTGGGGAGCGCTCGACCGTAGCACATGTCCTCGTTACGCGCCTACACTGCGCGGCGTATCATCGGCGTTCCTTCACACCGCCACTCTCTCGGCTTTTGGGCCCTGGCAATGATGTGACACAACCGATATACTTTTCACTTTTAAGTACTTTTTCTTTGCGGATTGTAGAGCCGTCCGAAAGCGCAGGTGTGTGACGAGGAGCTTGCTGTCTTTGAGGAGACCTCGAATAAGTCGTCCGGTACAGTTCTGTGCCACCTGGCGATGGTATCCTTAGCACACATTCATTCGAAACTCGTCGGTTCCCTGTCACGAAGAAAACTGCAACATGTTTCAGATGTCCTCAGGGAGGCTCAATTTATTGCTCGAAATCTGTACATCTACACTTTTGACAACCGAAACGATGCATCTACGATCTTGCTCTGGGACGCGACTCAAACGTCACCTAACAGCCGCCGCCGATACTAACGGAAACACGAACTGCCGGTGGGGTCGCTGGTGGCGGACGACCAACAGGTCGCGTTTCAGGTGGGTTCCAGGCCTGTCACGTGACCTGTCCCTCGGTGTTCCCCGTGGCTGGCTGGCTGGCGGGATGGCGCACCGCGAAGGGCAGGTGGACCGACACCTCCTCCCACTACGAGCAGCGCGCTTCAGCCGAGGCCGCGGGCGGGGCTGCTACGCCGAAGAGCGAGACAGCCCGCCGGCGGGCCCGCCGCGGCCCGCTGCGTCAGCTCGGTGATGGGCGACATCAGCGAGCCGCACGTGGCGCACACGTACATCTGGCGGCCAGGAGGTGCTAGCGTCAGAAGGCGGTTGTTGGGCCACACCGCAGGGGCATTCCGTACGCGACAAACCACCACACTTAATCACCATGGCGTCACACGACCAACCGCCTCCACCCACACAACAGCACAGCACGGAAGCGTGGCGGAGCCCCTCAGGAACCGCTCCTCAGGTCAGAACGCAGCCTACGTACCGGTGTCGGCCAACTACGACGCCACGTTGCAGAGACCGTCGTACCGCGAGTTGCACTTGGTGCCCTGCGGGCACGCAGAGCACTTCCGTCCCATCCGGTACGTTGGCTTGCTGACGACATTACCACCAGGCCCGTAATTGCAGTACAGCAGCACCTGGAGAACAGCGGCGTTGTCAGCTATCCCCGTTTCGACCCGTGCAGACGATGTTTGTCTAGACAATTCACATAGTCCGGATCATGGAGGCGGTTGGGCCATTCTGCGATGACGAGAGAGACATATTGCGCTGGCTGCTGTTGGTACATGACGAATAATACTTACGTAATCATGGCATTATTCCTGCTGATATTTCAAAAATTCGCCAATCTATGCAGGAAACGTTACTCACCCCCTCCGAACATGTGAGTAAAGGTGTAATGCCATCGTATGATCGCAGGTCAACAGCGAAAGAGGCCAAATCAAATATGTCCAGTTACAGGCGTCTTTCCAGGAGCATGTGCGGTCCGGCAATTGACACTTAAACATCACATAGAACGTTTGGAACGTTCATAGTCACATAGAACGTCATATAGAACGCTAGAACGTTTTCTCTTGATGCACAACACCGTTCAATCGCCGTCCCCTGCCGCCCCCACTGCGTGCTCACCTTCGTGCCCAGGCCGCCCTGGTGGGTGACTACGCCACAGCCGATGTAGCGGGTGATGGACCAGACCGCCTGCGCGAAGTGGCCGTACGTGCCGGTGTGGCAGCATCCCTGACTGAAATCACGGCACACGTACAAGCGCAATCGCCTCTGCTTGGAGGCGACTAGACGCAGCGCTCGCACTGCTGGGAGGCGGCGAGGCGCGCCGCGCCGACCCCAGCGCGGGTCCGCCAGGTCTCCGGCCGCGGCTGCACAGGCGCGCACACACCCGAAACCGATAACCCAGACAACAGACACCCGTGACTGATGACAGCCAGACGTCACGGCAGACATCTGCGCAGACAGCGGCGGGGCTGGCGACATACACCCGGCTTCGCGACTGGCAGACACGGCGGCTGATGTCTAGCAACCCGTCGGTATGTTTACCTACCATAAAAACATCATCGATGCTTATCAGACATCATGTGCGGGACAGAATCACGTCAAACTAACCTGGTACACCACGCCGCGATACTTAGATACGCTTCAACAGCATAGGTTGAATCTCGGAGGACAATGATATCGGCAGCAATTTTGTGTACGATTTCACATATATGTGCCCATTTGTTATCTTGCAGTTATTTCTTATTCCGCGACTCTGGGGTGGATGGTGCTCTTCCATATACCTCTTTATCCTGATTTAAGTGCACTTATCAAACAATGTGCGGCATCGGAAATGACGTCAATGGTCCCAACAAGGACGCCTGCTTACTAGAAAGTGTTGACGAAGTCCACAGATGTGTGGACGGACTCGGCAAACCAGGTCTGGGCCAAATCCAGTACTTTCTGGTATAAGTTTTCAACGCCCCGCTGGGAGGTGCTCAATGCCGCGATGTTCTGGCCGACGACGAAGAAACGTGCTGTAAATGAGACATACAGTTAAAGGGAATGCGTACATGTGTATTTCGGCCGTGCTTTGGTCATTTCAGTAGCTTGAGTGAGCCCTTTAACCCCTAGGATTGTGCAGCGAACGATCAAACGGGCTTTTGTATTCATCAGCAGAAAAACGACGTAAAGTGCTCCGAGACGTCAAGGACCAATATCCAACCAATTAAACACATCATAGCACAAACATAAAAACTTAATTATCAATCTAAAATATAGTCACCATATGCAGTGGTGTTATTAAACCGTTTTGGAAAGCTTTGGGAGCCACTCCCCATCACGTTACAGGTCGGCTACGATAGCTGTCGGCCTTACGGCTAGCTCGGCACTCGCTGCAGCCATGGTTTCCAGTGCACTGCTCCGCCTGTGCTTGGGCGGTGGCGGTAAGCTCCTCGTCCCATACCTGGAGAAGAAAAACAGGGTGAAATACAAGCAAAGTCTGGGTAAGCGTCCGTTGTCCATAGCGGTTAAACACTCGTAATCATTCATCTCATTAGTTATCAGCAAGCGTAAAATACCTTTAAGGCACTGCGAGTCAAGAGCAGTGTGCTTACCAAAAGGCAAAGGCAATGTCTAAAAAAATCAAATCGCACCTTGGTTGGACCCAAAGCAAAGTTAACAACGTAAAAACCTATTCACAATTACACGGTTGCTTACGTACTTCCCTTCCAAAAAAAGATGAAAACGCGATGTATTTCACTGAAACAAGGGCACTGCATCTGACAGTAAGGAAATGCCCGAGACAGTTTCAGCATTTACAATTATAGTGGTGGACCAGACAGTGGCTTTGTCCACCAATAAAATAGAGGTCAGCCCCTCCACCATCACTGGCTAACGCATCACACGTCACCATGACTGAAGCTCCTTTGATTTTCTGGCGTCGCTAACATACGACAATCCTGCGTTTAAGGGAGAATGTGGGCGGTGAGACCTTCCACACACTATCTCCAGAGCACTGTGGACATATCACTCACTGTTTCCAGAACACTGGACCTCCCACTCACCAGTTGCAGCATGTCAGCGGCTTGCGGCAGCTTGCCTCACTTCCCTTGCCTCACTTCCCAGCGCGCATTGCAGCACCAGCAGACCGACGGCAAAGGCAGAGGCAGAGGCCATGGCGAGGCAGAGATCGCACTGCGGGCGATGACGGTCGGAGACCGAATGAGTCGCTGCTGAACGGCGGGTACCTTTTTGATGTGAGCACAAGTGGGGCGGCAGGCGCCTGCGGGCGATGACGGTCGGAGACCGAGTGTGTCGCTGCTGGACGGTGGGTGCCTTTTTGATGTGAGCACCAGTGGGGCGGGACGCGCCTGAGGGCGATGAGCGCCGCCGGCTGTCCCAGGATCCGGCTCTCCACTCCCCTCCCCAGAGGGGTGCGACGGCTGGCAGCGTGTTTGGATCAGGTCTGGCCCGCGGAGAAGTGGAGCAGGCGAAAACAGGCGATTTGCGCCGGCTTTCTCAAAACATGGAGGCGGGAAAGAACGGTGGTGCTGGCTGCTTTGCTTGCTCTGTGCACTGGGCTTGAGCAGTGGGTAACAGCTAGTATTATACAGAACAATGTGCCTATTCAAGCATATTTTTCCTCTTCACACCCCTAAAGAGCACCTGAGAAGCAGGGCTGTAGGTTGAGATGCACAAAGCATGTATCGGTAATAGGTAAGCTTTGGCTGTTCGATGGGTGAGTATTCGAACGAAGAGCAAAACGCGTGACAAGACCCTACACAATACATCCATACGACAGCACAACGACAAACCTACGACTGCAAAGCTCAACATATCAGGACTTTCGAATGCGTCGTGCTGGCCAGCAGGACTTAGAACAGCTTCACAACTAAAACATGTCTTGCTGCACAGAACAGGGGGGTGGGGAGGGGGGGGGGAGGAAGTCAGGTGGCTGCTTGTTTGACAGCCCTACGTACATGGCGGCCCACAAACTATCAACTGACTGGTTCAGATACTGAGATCCACGCTCACACAATGCTGGAACCGTTATTGGTCCCATGTCAAATGACATTGTCAGGCATAAGATATCTAATCAAACCCCAATAAGACAAATTCCACACTGACCTCCCTGCGGACGGAGTGGCGCTTGGTTTGGCCAGTGCTCGCCGGGGTCGGGGTCAGACTGCGGGCACACCGGAGGGCTTTAGGGTCAGACTGCGGGTGCACGGAAGGTCGTTAGGGTCAGACTGCGGGCACATCGGGGGGGGGGGCGTTTTAACCAGACTGCGGACATACGGGGGGAATTAGGGTCAGACTGCGGTCACACGGAAGGTCTTTAGGGTCAGACTGCGGGCACATGGGAGAGCATTAGTGTCAGACTGTGGACACACGGAGGGTGCAGGCTCAAGCGAACCCTGTCGGACCTCGCCGAGCAAGGACATAGTTCGCGCCGTCACAAATGGACAATGCGCCAAGTACGCGATCCTTCCAGATGTTGAAGGGTGGTAAAGGCACCAATCCATTTCAGTGCCCAAAGATGGGTACGCTGGTGCCTGTACTTCTTGAAGCAACTGACCGTGACAGCTAGGCGATGCAAACGTACCATGAGTACAGAAAACAGAGCGGGAGTCGGGCCTAAACAATTCTCGGTGCGGTCGCACTTTTATTGTCATTATCTTTAACAGACTTCCAGTCCCAGTTGCCAAATGGGAAACGCGCGCGACACAACAATATATGAAGACCAGTATTCTAGCACTACACAGTACTCTGCTCGGTACCTCGTGATGTCACCCGTCATGGATGGAGATCTCTTCGCAGGCCAAGCTGGGATCAGTTCTCGGGCTTCATCGCAAACAGGTATTAAGCTGTTCACATTAGCTGTTCACCACACAGCTAGCTTCGTGGTTTGAAAATATCAACACGCAGGACAATTCCCTGGCTGAAAGGACTTACCGGTAATCTGCTGAAGCCGCAGAAGAACGTCAGCCACCTGGCGGCTTACCGGTAATCTGCTGAAGCCGCAGAAGAACGTCAGCCACTTGGCGGCTTACCGGTGATCTGCTGAAGCCGCAGAAGAGCGTCAGCCACTTGGCGGCTTACCGGTAATCTGCTGAAGCCGCAGAAGAACGTCAGCCACTTGGCGGCTTACCGGTAATCTGCTCAAGCCGCAGAAGAACGTCAGCCACTTGGCGGCTTACCGGTAATCTGCTGAAGCCGCAGAAGAACGTCAGCCACCTGGCGGTTTGTTTCGAAGCGAAGCTCATCCGGCGGCTCCGCAGCCGAAACGCCTTGAGGAACATCACTTTGACGGCAGGATGAAGACTTCAGACTCCTTGAAACAGAGAGACTCCTCAGTTACAGACAGACTCCTCAGACCCAGTTACTAACAGACTCCTCGGTTAAAGCTGTCATTGGCCGACGCAGCTGTATTGACCCCAGGCGCGGGCCACTGAGGTGCAGTGGTTTCTTGACCGCGATCGCCCCACAGGTCATGACCTGTACCCGGGCGGAGCAGCGCTCGCAGGCGCACGTGACCGGTCAGACCACCGGCTGTCCCGGGACTGGGTCAGCCCGGCGAGGTGGCTGACCGCATCACGTGACCGAAGCCTTCTAGGGGAGGCTGGGTCAGTCCGGCGAGGTGGCTGACCGTGTCACGTGGCCGGAGCCTTCCGGGGGAGGCTGGGTCAGTCCGGCAAGGTGGCTGACCGTGTCACGTGACCGGAGCCTGCCGGGGGAGGCTGGGTCAGTCCGGCGAGGTGGCTGACCGTGTCACGTGACCGGAGCCTGCCGGGGGAGGCTGGGTCAGTCCCGCGGGGCGTCTTTTTGCCGCGTCACGTGACCGGAGTTGACGATCACTTCACTTGGCCGCGGCACCACTCGTGGAGTTTGGAGGGAGTTTACTACTCGTGGAGTTCAATGGGCACGCAACAGACGGTACCCGGGGGTACCCGAGAAATAATCGCCTTCATTCCCCCTATCAAATCTGTAATATGCATTTATATGCGTCCGAATAAATTAAGGCACCAAAACAGTTGTGTGTGACTCTTAAAAATGAGTAGATCGAGAGCTACCGATGTTCAGTTATGTCATGCAACAAACATCGCGTCTTCGGTGCGGTTGAGGGAAAATGATATTGACGCCTGTTCACAACATTGTGCTCGTCTAAGCGCTTCGCTTTCTGACAAGAACAGCATACCAGTGTCACCAATTATACGAATCGCTTGTTGCCGCTCCACATAGGTGTCCGTCCTGCCAACAGGTGAATAGGTCTTACCCTACAGATGGATAACGCAGATTTATGTACATCTTCAGGAAAAGACAGATAAAATGCGGCTGCTTGGAATCAACTTGCAATCAACTGCTTGCAATAAACCCCACTGGAGCCTATCTACTTCACCTACGAGGTGAGGCCTTGAACTCTTCCTCCCTTTTCGTTTCTCGAAAACTAAGCAAGCTGTGTCCAGGCGGAAAACGCCGATTCAAAACATTAATCTTTAAGTATATTACGCAGTGTTCACGTACATTACGTAGTGTTTTGACAATTGTGGATGTTATCTTTGATAAGCCAAACCAGGTCAAAGGGTTCAAATAAGCACTTGGAGCCCTTACACGTTATCCCGAGAACTAAGCATGCTATGATCATGTAGAAGACGGCATTGAGTAGCTTTTGGATGTGTTGAATAATTGCACAGGAATATGAAGTTATCTACATATGTATAGGCATATATATATATATATATATATATATATATATATATATATATATATATATATATATATATTATATATATATATACATATATATATGTATATATATATACATAAACATATATATATGTAGAGATGATTGCTGCATTGGCCTAGGGGCTACATAAAAAACAAGCAGGTCACAGGAATGGGCAGAACCAGGTTAGACATGCCCTTTCAAGCCGTAAATTATGTCATTAAGTCTTGCAGTTTATGACCATCAAACGATTAAACCTGTTCACAAAGGTCAAAGCTTGCACTAGATTGACTTAAATGACTTGACTTTACTAAAGCTGCCGAAGCGACAGTGATGCACAAAGCAGCTTGATCGAGATAAAAAGAGAAGTTGAGAAACCCCTACGGTCGCATTTCTTCCGAGAAAGTAAGAAATATTTTTGTTCGTAATTTTTTAGCAAAATGTTTCATAGAAAGGACATTTTTGACAAACAAATAGTCATACAAAGTTCTTCTTCGTTCGGCAACACCATGCTGCTGAAATTAAGAACAATTGATTCAGGATTTAAAGATGAGCAATACATATTGCCGTCCGTCAAAACGGAGTGGGCTTTGATCTACACAAACAATGGAGGAGGCTTTCTTGTTAAGCCCTCAGGGCTCAACTCGATAAGCATACGCAAAAAGGCACGCGTCTGTCTTCACCTACGTAAACATTGCTCCTGTGGTGATCATGCAAATCAACTGACCAGGTGGATTTAACCTCCTTTTGGGACTCTCCCACGACCCTGATTGGAGGGACTTATTTCAAAGTGCTCCATGTGATGGAGCCATGCGACAGTCCGTTGTCTATTCGAGGCGCGTGTACGCGGTAGGGAAAGAAGAAAAGGAAAGGGGTGGTTCCGCCCCGCTGGCGCGCCAGACGACAAAATGGCGGTGGTCACCGTGCCCCTGCTAAACAGGGGAAACTGAAGATTCTTTCTCTGCTGTTTGGGCCAGAAGACGGATGAGTGGGTGCTTCGTGGATTAGACTAAACAGAACTGTCTTGTACATCTTGGTGCTGAATTCAACACCAATAGACAAATCAAACTAATGTGTTGGCAACGACCAGCAAGCGGGCCCAGGCGAATGCTGGGCACCACGTGATCGGGATGACCCCTGCAGCGCGGCTGAAGGTCAAGCGCCCCCACCCCACCAGCCGCGCACAGACTGGAGAGGGGAGGGGGGACGGTCTATCGGCATTGGTGGGAGTTTTGGAAGAGCAGCGCTTCATTACTAAACTGTAGACCATCATACATACGGAAAACGGTAACAAAATGCTAACAGCAGGGATTGTAGTGCACTGCGTTAGTTACAGCACTGGCTCATGCTCGCTGCCCGTGATGTGGCCACTTTCATCTGGCTTGTTTTGTCGCATGCAAGCCCATATCAAAATTGAATGAGCCATGAATAAACTGCACTTGGTGTATGA